CTGCTCGCCTTGTCGACTATCTTGTTGGTCGCCTTGTCGATCGTCTTGTTGCTCGCTTTGTCGATTGCCTCTTCGGTCGCCTTGTTGCTCGCCCGGTAACGGTCGCTGTAGCTGCGGCAGTAGCTGCGACTGTAGCTGTAACTGCGATTGCGGCGGCGCTTGCGGTTGCTGCTCTCTTGGCTGCACCTGTTGTCTGTCTGCAGGAGCTGCCTGCCGTGAGTTCTGCTGACGCTGGTATGCCTCAGAACGCTCGTCAAACTTCGTAACTTTGAACTCCACAGGATCCCATTCAGGAGGGTTCTCTCCACCTAGTAAGTCAAAGAGAGAATCAACTACTCTAGCGCGAAGGTTGCCTGTGTAGACTCCTCTATAGCGTAACACCGTCTTAAGAGACCTTAGCGTATTACGCTCAACCTTCTGGAACAACTCTCTTGTCCATCCTTCAAAGTCCCATTGGTAGTCGAAGTATAGAGTCTCATCCCAGGCCATTCCTACATGGTAGTCATGGACAGTCTTAGCAACCCAGGTTGTTGCGTGTGTTTCGTCTGCATCCTCTGGTGCAGGTATACCCCAGAGAGATGTGTTGATACAGTCAAACGCAACTGTGTATGGACAGTGTCGCATGAGGTGCTCAGCAGTGAACTTAGCCCATAGTGAAGCAGCTTCTAATCGTTTGCTTATGTTGCGCTCGGATGGGGCGTTAAGCAGTTGCTCTTGAACAGCAACGTCGATGTTGCTAGAGTTGCTCTCGCTGTCTGCCATCGTGCTGGCGTGTGTTTATTGACGCGTTGTCTATGTTTGTCTAGCTGGTTGGTCGTTTCCAGCGCTTGTGGTGTGTGTACGTGATCGGATCGTCCAAGGGCGCTCGTACGGAATCGCTATGCGTTGCTGACGCGTTGCCTCGCTGGCTAGTCGTTTCCAGCGCTTGTCGTGTTGTACGTGATAGGATCGTCCGAGGACGCTCGTACGGAATCGCTACGCGTTGCTGACGCACTGTAGTCGTCCCGAGACTTCTCGCGTCGGGATATCGACAGTCTGTCGCTCTGCGCTGCTGACGCGCTGTAGTCGTCCCGAGACTTCTCGCGTCGGGATTTCAACAGTGTCTTTGTGCGTTGCTGACGCGCTGTAATCGAGCTTCGGCCTGGATTAGCAGCTTAGAGGGAGGTTTTGATCGCTATGCGTTATCTCTGCCTCGCTCTGTTCTTAGCACATAGGTATCATCCCGAGACTTCTCGCGTCGGGATTTCAACTGTCTGTCTCTTCTTCCTTGCTGTCTGTGATCGCCTAAGCAATCACTGATCAGTGTTGGTTGGCTTTGCACTAAGTGCGTAAAGGGAAATAACGATAACTAGGAATGCATTCTGTTCGGTGGTTCTAATTGATATCTACGAACATAGGTGCTACGAAGGTATACCTAAGCTCTTGCGCTTTACCCCAGACCTAGCTGACAAAGCTATTGACTGGCAAGTCACTACAGAGACTGGATCTGACCACTACGGCCTACTCTTCTCAATTCGATCAGACACCGACCAAGTAGACAATCCAATAAACCAACGCAAGTTTAACACAAAAAAGGCGGATTGGCCACTTTTTCAAAAAACCCTAAACGAGGCTATTCAAAACAACATCACGCTACAGCACATAAGCGAGATAAACGACCCTAGGAAACAAGATTGCAAGAATCTAATTCTAGAAGAGGACCAGGAGCTTCAAAGCAAACTAGAGGAGATAGGGGAAGCAATTACGCAAGTCATCCAACTAGCAGCTGACAAAGCAATCCCAAAAGTCAAACTAGGTCCTAAACCAAAACCCTGGTGGAACCAGGAGCTTACTAAGCTAAGAAGAGAGCTTACTCACTGCCAAAGAGTCTACACACAACAATTGCAACAGTTGCCCATCCAAGAGGCATATCTATTCAAGAAAGACTTCTTAATAGCGCGGAACACCTACGCAAGAGCAATCAAGGATGCCAAGAAGAGACATTGGAATAGCTTTCTAGAACAAGAAACCCCACAGTCTATCTACAAAGCTATGGCATACACAAAGGATCAAAAGGTCGAAAAGATTCCACCTAACATGTTTTATAAGCGAGCCGCCAGTACAAGCGAGCCGCCACCTAACCAACTTTCTACACCTCTCCTATCTTAACATACAATGGCTCTACGCAGCGCGCCTCAATTAGCTTCAAATGAAGCAGATATACAGCTTGCTATCTCTTCTATTAATGCGCATCAAATTAATAGTGCTTCTACTGCTGCAGCTATATATAATGTCCCACGTACGACACTACGTAACCGACGCGCTGGTATACCTGCACGACGCGATTGCCAGCCCAACTCAAGGAAGCTTACCCAGAGAGAAGAGGAGGTGATTATTAGCTATATCCTTCACCTAGGTCTACGTGGATTTGAGCCTACCTACGTTGATGTACGAGATATGGCTGATAAGCTGATGGCTGCGCGCGGCGCTAGCCTGGTTGGCATCCACTGGCCGCGCAACTTTGTCAAGCGTACAGATAGCCTTCGGACGTGTTTTAACCGAGCGTACGATAGGCAGAGAGCTCTCTGTGAGAATCTAGCCCTTATCCAACGCTGGTTTAAGCTAGTAGAAGAGACAAAGACTAAGCTTGGTATCTGCGATGAGGACACATACAACTTTGATAAAGCTGGCTTTATAATAGGCAAGATTACAACGCAGCTAGTTATAACAGGATCAGAGAGAAGAGGCAGGCCAAAGAGTATTTAGCTAGGCAATCGCGAGTGGGTAACGCTGATCGCTGCCATCAGCGCTGCTGGCTGGTCAGTGCTACTATTCCTTATCTTCGCTGGCCAGTACCACCTATCAGCCTAGTATAAGGAGGATATCCTACGCGACTAGGCGATCGCAGTCAGCGACAATGGCTGGACGAATAATGAGCTTGGAGTTGAGTGGCTAAAGCACTTCAACGCTCACACGCAGGCTCGTACTATAGGCGCGCGTCGCCTGCTTATTATTGATGGCCATAGGAGCCACTAGTCTCTAGAGTTCCAGGAGCTCTGCAAGGAGAACAATATCTATACGCTCTGTATGCCTCCTCACTCATCTCACCTACTCTAGCCACTTAATGTTAGCTGCTTCTCGCAATTGAAGCGCGCGTACAGCCATAAGGTGGAGAGCCTCATGCGCAACCACATCAACCACATCACTAAGCTAGAGTTTCTGCCAGCGTTTAAGGCTGCGTTTGATCGAGCGTTCACGCCAGCCAACATCTGCTCAGCCTTCCGCGGCGCAGGCCTTGTTCCTCTATAACTAGAGGCTGTTCTATCAAAGGTAGATGTACAGCTGCGTACACCTACTCCTCCAGCAGCTGCTCTACCAGAGGCTCCCTGGGTAGCTCAAACACCAAGCAACGCGCGTGAGCTTGAGGCTCAGTTAAGCCTTATATGTAGGCGCGTGCGCCAGCGTAAGAGCTTATCACTAGCTTCGATCATTGAGGCGATTGACCAGCTAAAGAAGGGCGCTGAGGTGATGATGCTGTCTGCTAAGCTGATGCGCGATCGGATCTCTAGTCTTGAGAAGGCCAACAGCGCAGCCTCAGCGCGTAGGCAGCGCTCTAAAAGGCGTATACAGAAGCATGGAGTACTCACAAAGGGAGCTGGAGAGGATATACTGGCTCAAAATGAGGCTGACCAGCAGATTGCTCATGAAGAGCGTCAAGGAGGAGCGCGATCAGGCCTCAGCCAGCGGGCTCAAAGGCGCTGCACCAGGTGCAAGGAGACTGGGCACAACTCACGCATATGCAACACTAATACGATCAATATAGAGTAATCTACTGTATCAATATCTAGCAATAGTATTATCGCGTTGTTGAGATGCGTCGCTTTGAAGTTGCAAAAGTTTGGTTAGGTGGCGGCTCGCTTGTACTGGCGGCTCGCTTATAAAACATGTTATCCATGGAGAGATACTAGAGAAAACATTCAAAGGAAAGTGCAAGGCCTTTAGAAAAGCACTTTTCCCTCCTCCTCCAACAGCAGAACTACCAAGCTTTCTAAACTATCAAGAGAGCATTTGGGACTGGCCGCAACTATCAATTTCTGAACTAGAACAAGCCTGTTCTAGTAAAGTTAAAAGTAGTACACCAGGGCCTGACGCCATTACTCAAGATATTATAACCGCTACGTTTAAGTTCAACCCAGAGATCCTCTTCATCACCTACTCAATCTTGTTCAATTACGGATACCACCCGCGGTGCTGGAAAGCAGCTACAGGAGCAATTCTCAAAAAACCATCCAAACTAGACTACTCTCTCCCGAAAGCTTATAGAGTAATTACTCTCTTAAACAGCCTAGGGAAGGTACTAGAGAGAATTATCGCTAAAAGACTAGCTAGTCTAGCAGAAACCACAAACCTCCTACACTCCTCACAAATTGGAGGTAGAAACAAGAAATCTGCAATAGACGCCGCTCTCCTCCTAGTAGACCAGATTCAACACAAAAAACAGCAAGGCCAAATTACTTTCACAGTGTTCGTGGACGTCAAAGGAGCTTTTGACCACGTCATACACAACCGATTTCTAGACCGACTTAAGAAACTTGGACTCCCAATTAGCTTAATTTGCTGGGCGAAATCCTTTCTCTCCAACAGGACCCTAAGACTGGCATTCGATAATAAGATTGAAGAATTTAGCAAGATTATAGCAGGCATCCCACAAGGCAGCCCAGTATCACCAATCTTCTTCCTTATCTATATCCGAGACCTATTCCCAGCCTTACAAAGCTTTCAACTATCGTATATTGACGACCTATCTCTTACTACCTCATCAACCTCTCTAAAGAAAAACATAAGAGAACTGCAAAAAGAGATAGCTACACTCTTTGCTACGGGAGAGCAGCTAGACATTATCTTCGACACATCCAAAACAGAGCTAATCCACTTCACCGCTAAGAAGGAGAGGATAGAAAGAGCCCTTATACTCCCAAACAACGACCGGGTAGAACACAAAGACACTGTAAAGTGGCTAGGTATCTATCTAGACAACCGTCTATCATTCAAATCACATGTGTCTATACGTGCAAGCCAAGCTAGACAAGCTTTCTACAGACTAGGAAGACTAGCGAACATTGAACTCGGCCTATCAACACATGCTATCCGGCAACTATATCTAGCATGTGTAACCAGCGTGTCAGACTACGGAGCGCAAATCTACTGGCAAAACCAATTATACGCCACATCAATACTACAATCACTACATAACCTAGCATGCCGGAAGATTCTAGGAGTGTTTAGAACCGCACCAGCCGTTCCAACCAGGGCTCCCAATAGTACGGCCTACTGTTAGTGTACTAATAGTAACACTGATAGTATACTATACCATTATAGCCGTATAAAGATTCGTCTATCCGTATGGTGTGGTGTGAGTGTTGCAATCTTATTAGTATACTATTAGTACTAACAGTGTGAAACACGCTAAATTAATTATGACCAAACAACTATCTAGCGACACGTGTCTCTTTCTTCCCAACAACAGACTCAAGGCTATCTGTACCTTCCTAACTATGTCTAGCATTAGCGAATTCACCGAAGTTGCTAATATTTTGAACCCTGAACATGACTCCCAACCACTGTCCACATCGCAAAATCTAGTCACATCGGAACCTACCAATTCAACAAAATCCCGTCCGCAACGATCGTGGATCTGGCAACACGCAGTAAAGCCACCACCAGGGCAACATAAAATCTACAATAATAAAGGAGCCGCCGTGTGGAGATGTTCTCGCTGCAAG